TAGTGGCTTCTGCTGAGGTGACTTTCAATTTCTGGATGATGGTTATTACTACGACCGTTGATTGTTTTTCTATATGTTTCTATTAAGTTAACTTCCATGGACAGTATTTGGAGGGTTCAAGTTTTAATATTAACAGGACATTATTGTTGTGTAATGTGCAGGAATTACAGATGTTGGAAAGGAAGCTATTGCTGAATTTAGGGTATGGGTGATGGACATGGAAAATGAATTCTGGGTGGTGCTTGATTGTAATGGAAGATAACTTTTTTTTAAATTTTTTAATCAAAATATTAAAATGTTTTTAAATTCCACGTACAGCTCTGTGAATGCCAATTTAAAAAAATTGACACGTCAACCTCCCACCTCAGCAAAACCTTAACCCCCGTTAAGCCAATTTAACGGTAGGGCCCCAATTGATTCAAATTAGCATTATTTAGGACTCAATTGGGGATTTTAAAAAACGGGGATCGAACTGGGAAAAACCTGCATAAATAGGGACAACTAGAGGGGTTTAACCTTTCTTATATTATGGATAATTATTTCCACCACTAATATATCTATCAGTAAATTTTGTTAGTAAATTATAATTTTATCAATAAAATAACGTAAACTTCCCACTTTGGATTTTAACTAATTCATGTAAAATTCGTTGGTAATAATATATCTTAAAATTCATTGGTAAAATTAGTTAGTAATTTATAAATCTTATTATTGATGGATTTTTTCACAGACAAAACAATCAATTAAAAGAATGCTAAAATTTTTGTTGAGTTTTATGAGATTATTTTATAAATTAAGTGGAGATGAGTGAGAATAAGAAGAAGAGAAAAAAAGAATAAGGAAGAGGAGGAATAGTTGGAGTCCATTGTGATGGCGATGACGGAGGCATGATATTGGTGTAAAGATGATTCAGTAGTGAAGCAATAATGGATGCCACAACAATAGTGTCGGCTAAAGGTGGAGAGGAAGAAAGGAGGAAGAAGAATATTCAAGCGTGATATTTATTGACAAATTGCGAACCCTAGGTCGAGAGGTTTCACTTCACATATGGGAAATAAGGCCTTTGCTCGAGCACTCTAAAGGAAGCAGCTGCCAAGCCTCAAAATGACGTCGTCCTTCTTAAGAGAGTTTCTCCCTACACCACCACACATTTCTACCTACACCTCCCCAACTTTTTTATTTTCCAAAACTACCCTTAGGTAAATATTTTTTACTTTTACCATTTAACTTTTAACTTTTTTTAAACCCTAAACTCCCTTTTAAATTTCCGTTTTTACTCTTCCCTCAGTTGCACCCCACTCCTCCACCCTCACACCACAAATCTCAACATTCTTTCTTCCTCCTTTGTGTTCTCTTCTCCTTCTTTTCCTGTTTTCTTCCAATTTCTTTTTCAATTTTTTTTGCTTTTATCCAGTCACTGAGGGCTTGTTCGTTTATTGAGGGTGTGCTTGGTTTGTTTGCGGAGGGGTGTGCTCGTTTACAACTTTCGTGCTTGATTGGTTTCGTGACTGGACACCAGGTTGGTTTCTTCTTCTCCTTTAATGGTTTGCATGTTCATTTACATGTATTTCTTTGCTGTTTATATGTATATTTAGGTGATGTGAACATGTTAAATTTGTTTATGTTTGGTTTACTGTATTTGGACGTGGTCTGTGAAGAAAATAAAAGAAGAGAGTGTTGAAGGCCCTGAACGAAAATGGGAAATTCGTTGGGCCTTCAACGGATCTCGATATCCGTTGACGGATATGGATATTTGTTGAAGGCTCAATGAATATCCCATTTTCATTGAGGCCTTCGCGGTTCTCTTGTTTATTTTTTTTTAATTTTTAGTTTAGTAATTATTATTTTTGTAGATTTATTTATTTGAACTTTATAATTGTTTTCTTAGTTGATTTAATAATTATTATATATTTATTTATAAAGAATAAAAAAATTTTTTGTTATAAGAAATAAATAGAAATGGTTGAAGGTGTAAATGAAAATGGGAGATCCGTTGACCTTCAACGGATGTCGATATCCGTTGAAGGCGTAACATATCTCCCATTTTCATTGACTCCTTCAACGATTTCTTTTTATTTTTTTAACCTTTTAACCACGGTAATTCAATTTTCATTGAGGGGGCAATTGTGGAATAGGGTAGTGGAGGAAGAAGTCCGTGGTGGTTTAGGGAGAAACCCTCTCTTCTTAATTACAGGCCTAAATTCAGCACAACCCAAAACGTAGAATAGCCAGCCCAATTCCAGTGGCCCAACGTGTGCATTCCTTTACAGGTTCAACTCAATGCATAATTTTCAAGGGTGTTGCTCCCTCCACCACCACACCTTTCTCCCTCCACCCCCGCTTTACTATTTTTCCCCTCAGTAAAATTTTATTTTTAGGGTTATTATTTTTTAATTTTACCCATTCACAACCTATTTCACTAATAACCTATTCTAGTCCCGTACATGAGTAAAATACTTTTCTTTCATTTTAACATTATATTTCTTCCTCTCTTTCTTTCGTCGTTGTGAGATACTACAAGTTGCAAAGGTTGGTGGTGGTGGAAAGAATTATCAAGCAGTCTCCCTCTCGTGTTGCAGTTCGTGGAGTGGTGCAGTGCGTGTCGTGCTTCCTCCAGGTGCGTATTCGAATAAACCTTGAAATAAAACCCTAAAATAAAAAACGTAACCTTTAAATGGAGGTGACATCCTTCAACGGATGTCAACATCCGTTTAAGGAAAAACGGATGTCGACATCCGTTTTACCTTAAACAGATGTTGACATCCGTTGAAGATGTCACCTCCGTTTAAAGGTTANTAATTATACTTTTATCTATATTTTTAAAATTTTACGCATTAGATTAAGTTTTCTTTTAAAAAAAATTGTAAATTGATGTTTTAAAATGTTTCTTACTCTATTAACAATCTTAAGAACTTGTCTTGAAATGATAGAATCAAATGTAAGTAAAATTAAGCTTTATGTTACTAAGTAGGATGAATTGATATTTTAATTATTTTTCTCAATTATTAATCTTAAAAACTTGTCTTTGAACAGTAGAATCAAAGTATTTAAGTTTCTTGCAAATAAAAATATATCAAGAAATAGGTAAAAAAATACCCAAAATAAAATTCCACACCAATTTTTTTGATAGACAGAAATTTAGTATATTTAAAGTCTAGTTATAATTTACTTAATTTTATAGAGATTGTTTGACCCTCTAGTGAATTTATTTTACAATCAAGTTAAGTATACGAATATGTAATTATGCAAGATATGAACTAAATATCTTGAACAACGCTTAAGAAATACAATTTATTATATAAACTCTGCAACTAATACACATATCTAACATCGTTAAAAGATACAAGAGTTTGGAATGAAATCACCATGAATATCTATCTAGAGATTAATATCAAAGACTAAAATAATAAAGTTTCATCCAAAATGATAGAAAAAAATCTCATAGATGTAATCACAACCACACTTGCTCCAATTACAACCCCATGGGCTTCCAAGTCTACTTGAGTTTATTTCACATGTTTCACAACTTCTAATGTGTTCATTTTTAAGTAGTTTACTGTTAACATGAATTGGCGAAGATGAATTTAGGGCTAATTTGATCTTCATTTTAAAGTATTTGTGAATTATTAAAAGCAACTATTTACGTGATAACTGATTTTTTTAATCTAGGATCATTCGCACGGATTTGATGCGATTTATTATCAAATGTCGATATTGTCCTTACTAAATTCACTTATGGCTCATGAGAAATGAAAAGTGATGTATTCAATTCTACATGGTACAAATTCATCCTATGTATTTTTTATTAATAATATTAATTAATAAATAATAGTAATGAAAATAAACGTACATTGCATACATTTTAAAAAATGATATTTCAAATAGAAAAACTATACTTTACTATTAATTTTTATTTGTTTTACTACTTAAAATATTTTTTACTAATAAATATATTATTTATAAACATAATTTTATATTACTATTATTATTAAGGAAAATTTGTTAATCTTTATTTTTTATCTATTAAAATATATTTTTATCTATCACATCGGTCAAATTCTACAGAAATTTTATTTCCAAATTCACTTAAATTCACCTCCAAATCCTTTCAAAAAAACAATACTCAATTTACTCTGGAAATCATTTAAACTCATCCACTCTTTCACCCTCAAATCCATCACTTCAAGCAAACAATCCTTCATGAAACAAAGGTAGATCATCACTTATAATGCTTTGTATCATGCAAGCCTCTACTTTTTCTTCAATCAACCTATTTTTCACTAAGGTTGAAAAAATGACTTGTGGTCTTCGGGTCAATCTACTAGTATGCCAAAACGAGATGAACTAGGTTGAATTTTTTAACATGTAAATGTAATAGTTCTTTTAATTCATTCAATTAAAATATTAATATGATTAAATATGATTTTAATATTAATTTATATGAATATGTAAACAATTCTTTTTTTTTAATTTTAAAAGAATTAAAACAGAGTGGTGGGAAAAATTACCATTTCTGGTCCTTTTTCTATCACAAGTCAACTTGATCCGACCTAATTTTGACGAATTAATCAAAACAGATCAGATTGACACATTTATCCCTTCAATTTATCACTCATAAATCCTTTTATCTAAGTTAGTGCCCCCTCCCCTTTTTGTTTTTCCTTTCAATTGCAATTGCATGTGATTTCTTAACATTATGGAACATCATGTTTTCCTCTGAACATCACCATTACTCTCACCTTTATGTTTTCCCTCATTTTTATTATTACCGAAGTCATCATCACTCTAGACCAACTTTTCTTATAGGTTAAACTCCTTTAATTGTCCCTATTTATGTAGGTTTTTTCCACTTAGATCCCCGTTTTTTTAAAATCCCCAATTGAGTCCTAAATAGTACTAATTTGAATCAATTGGGTCCTTGCCGTTAAATTGACTTAACGAGGTTAAGTTTTTGCTGAGATAGGAGGTTGACGTGTCAATTTTTTTAAACGTGGCCTTCTTTACGCTGTATACATGGAATATATAATTAAAAAAAATTCTAAAAATTGAAACTCAAATTAGGGTTCATCATCTTCAACCTTACCTTGATCATCTTCAACCTTAGGCGTTAACAACATCTCCCAAAAATAGTTCACCTCTTGTTCTGTCATTTTTTCATTCTTCTCCACCGGCTTCACTTCCTCTACCTCCTCCTCCTGGTGCCGCCACTTCCTTTCGCCTTTGGCCTCAACGGTTGCGTCCATCACGCCTGCTTCGAGTGGGAAGTTGAGGATGGCCTTTGAGCCGTAGAGCCTGAAGGCAGCACGGTCGTCAGCCTTGGCGGCCTCGATGGCAGTGTCGAAGGTTCCAAGCCACACTCTCGACCCGCGCTTGTTCGAGTCGCGGATCTCGGCGGGGAACTTTCCCCAAGGCCGCTGACGGACTCCTCTGTAGTGCTTCTTCTCCAGCTGGTTCTCCAGTTTCCCAAATTGGATCCACTCAGCCTTCTTGGGGAGAGAGATTTGCAGAGAAGGTTTCCGATTTAATTGAGGTTTCTTGTGAAGCGACGTGGGGCTCTAGGAGCATACCCAGAAAAGTGGTTGCCAGAAATCCACTGTTTGACAAAACAGGCACTATAACCAAGGGGAAATCCACTATTACTACTGCGAGGGTATTCACAGGAATGAACCGCAGAGAATTTCTTACATTAGTGGCTTCTGCTGAGGTGACTTTCAATTTCTGGATGATGGTTATTACTACGACCGTTGATTGTTTTTCTATATGTTTCTATTAAGTTAACTTCCATGGACAGTATTTGGAGGGTTCAAGTTTTAATATTAACAGGACATTATTGTTGTGTAATGTGCAGGAATTACAGATGTTGGAAAGGAAGCTATTGCTGAATTTAGGGTATGGGTGATGGACATGGAAAATGAATTCTGGGTGGTGCTTGATTGTAATGGAAGATAACTTTTTTTTAAATTTTTTAATCAAAATATTAAAATGTTTTTAAATTCCACGTACAGCTCTGTGAATGCCAATTTAAAAAAATTGACACGTCAACCTCCCACCTCAGCAAAACCTTAACCCCCGTTAAGCCAATTTAACGGTAGGGCCCCAATTGATTCAAATTAGCATTATTTAGGACTCAATTGGGGATTTTAAAAAACGGGGATCGAACTGGGAAAAACCTGCATAAATAGGGACAACTAGAGGGGTTTAACCTTTCTTATATTATGGATAATTATTTCCACCACTAATATATCTATCAGTAAATTTTGTTAGTAAATTATAATTTTATCAATAAAATAACGTAAACTTCCCACTTTGGATTTTAACTAATTCATGTAAAATTCGTTGGTAATAATATATCTTAAAATTCATTGGTAAAATTAGTTAGTAATTTATAAATCTTATTATTGATGGATTTTTTCACAGACAAAACAATCAATTAAAAGAATGCTAAAATTTTTGTTGAGTTTTATGAGATTATTTTATAAATTAAGTGGAGATGAGTGAGAATAAGAAGAAGAGAAAAAAAGAATAAGGAAGAGGAGGAATAGTTGGAGTCCATTGTGATGGCGATGACGGAGGCATGATATTGGTGTAAAGATGATTCAGTAGTGAAGCAATAATGGATGCCACAACAATAGTGTCGGCTAAAGGTGGAGAGGAAGAAAGGAGGAAGAAGAATATTCAAGCGTGATATTTATTGACAAATTGCGAACCCTAGGTCGAGAGGTTTCACTTCACATATGGGAAATAAGGCCTTTGCTCGAGCACTCTAAAGGAAGCAGCTGCCAAGCCTCAAAATGACGTCGTCCTTCTTAAGAGAGTTTCTCCCTACACCACCACACATTTCTACCTACACCTCCCCAACTTTTTTATTTTCCAAAACTACCCTTAGGTAAATATTTTTTACTTTTACCATTTAACTTTTAACTTTTTTTAAACCCTAAACTCCCTTTTAAATTTCCGTTTTTACTCTTCCCTCAGTTGCACCCCACTCCTCCACCCTCACACCACAAATCTCAACATTCTTTCTTCCTCCTTTGTGTTCTCTTCTCCTTCTTTTCCTGTTTTCTTCCAATTTCTTTTTCAATTTTTTTTGCTTTTATCCAGTCACTGAGGGCTTGTTCGTTTATTGAGGGTGTGCTTGGTTTGTTTGCGGAGGGGTGTGCTCGTTTACAACTTTCGTGCTTGATTGGTTTCGTGACTGGACACCAGGTTGGTTTCTTCTTCTCCTTTAATGGTTTGCATGTTCATTTACATGTATTTCTTTGCTGTTTATATGTATATTTAGGTGATGTGAACATGTTAAATTTGTTTATGTTTGGTTTACTGTATTTGGACGTGGTCTGTGAAGAAAATAAAAGAAGAGAGTGTTGAAGGCCCTGAACGAAAATGGGAAATTCGTTGGGCCTTCAACGGATCTCGATATCCGTTGACGGATATGGATATTTGTTGAAGGCTCAATGAATATCCCATTTTCATTGAGGCCTTCGCGGTTCTCTTGTTTATTTTTTTTTAATTTTTAGTTTAGTAATTATTATTTTTGTAGATTTATTTATTTGAACTTTATAATTGTTTTCTTAGTTGATTTAATAATTATTATATATTTATTTATAAAGAATAAAAAAATTTTTTGTTATAAGAAATAAATAGAAATGGTTGAAGGTGTAAATGAAAATGGGAGATCCGTTGACCTTCAACGGATGTCGATATCCGTTGAAGGCGTAACATATCTCCCATTTTCATTGACTCCTTCAACGATTTCTTTTTATTTTTTTAACCTTTTAACCACGGTAATTCAATTTTCATTGAGGGGGCAATTGTGGAATAGGGTAGTGGAGGAAGAAGTCCGTGGTGGTTTAGGGAGAAACCCTCTCTTCTTAATTACAGGCCTAAATTCAGCACAACCCAAAACGTAGAATAGCCAGCCCAATGTACGCATCTGCCCTTAACCTGGTCCAATCTAAAATTTTAAATTCAATTATGAAAAAGGGTCCAATCAGTAATTGAAGTAAGGGTATTTTGGCTATTCAAAATTAAAAGAAAAATTAAGAAAAAGGCTTTTATTATAAAAAATTAGAAAAATATTTAAGTTCCTACTTGTAAAAATATACTAAAAATACATCTAAAATCCTATTTTTAACTAACATTCTACAAATATAAAGATTTAATAGAAAAACCTAAAACTAATATAATTCTAGACAATAAGAAACTAAAATGCACTAACAAAGACTTTTAGACACAGAAAAAAGTGCAAAATTAGAGAATTCTCAGTGGTAAGGGTTAAGAAAAATGAGAATGATTTTTGTGTGATTGATAGTCGGGGAGAAAATGTTGAAAAGTATTGGTTGGAGAGGATGAAGATTGTGAATTTGGAAAAATGGTGTGGGTTTTTGGTAAAGATTGATGAATGAAGAAGCGAAAATCAGAAAATAGAGAAGAAGATGAAGTTTTTATGTGTTCTTTGTTGTGTGAAGATATAGGTGGAAAATCTTGGAGTTGAGGTATGAAGTTTTGACCAGGGCCCATTTCCAATTTTATGTAATACTTAAGGGATAAAAAAACATATTTATCTCTTTTATAAATTAAGTGAAGATAGATGAGACGAAAAAGAGAATACGGAAGGGGAGGAAGACTAACCAGAGTTGATTGCAATGGTGGTGGCGAAGGCACAATGGTGGTGTAACAATGAAGCAATAATAGAGCAACGATGTAGGGCATGTCAATAGTGGTGGTTAGGGGTGAAGGAGTGGAGAAAAAAGAATAAAACAAGAAAAAAGAAAAAGAGAAAGAAGAAGAAGAAACCAAATTATAATATTTATCAATGACCAAATTCCATCAATAATTACTAATAGATATGTATTAATGAATTTTGTTGTTGGTAATTAGTGAAGATTTTTCCAATTTGTTAGTAAAAGTTATTAACAAACATTTTATTAACAATCTTTTTGTCCTTTTAGTAATCGATCAATGGACTCAAATTACTAATAGTTTTTTTTATTATTGATAGACAAAATATATAGATAATTAACAATTTTCTTTTCTTGTAACGTGTGAATGAAAGTGATAGAAAGTTTTGAATAGAAACAAAAGGTAATCTTACATGAAAGTTCAAGAATTATAAATATATTTAATCTTTAAATTATCATTAATTTTGATTCTTGAAATTTTGATATAATAAAAGATTAACACAAAACAAAAAGAAATTATAAAGACATTATTATTCCTATAGTCCTTAATTAGAAACTTGTTTGGTACATCTAATAATGTCACTATCAAAATTGATTATAACTTAAATACATTTTTTGTTCTTAATTATATATTTTAAAAATAAAAACTATGAGAGAATACATCAGTTATAAATTCTAACAATATTGTCTCAAAAGAGTATGAATATTCATTCAAAACATTTATGATTTTAACAATATTATTCTCTCAAATTACTTTAAATCAGCTAAACCAAATCATCCGTGTCATCTCCATTTAAATGATAAAACCCCAAAAAAACAAACTAAGCGTTAACAAAATACTTTATAAATAAATAAATAAATTAGAGTAAATGTGGGTAATTTTGTTAATATACTATTTTTAATTTTATTAAATTATGATTACATAATTTTTCAAAATTAAATAAGTTTCATGTACCTATGATAATTTTCTTTTAAAAAATATGTTGACCATTCTATCATCTATAATTAATGTTACATCTTACGAACCTTGTTAATATTGTATACGGCATTGAAGAATAAATTACAACAGTTGTGTTGTTGCAGTGATAATACAGAGGCGATGGGTCATAATTGATTGAAATTAGTGATTCTTGTAATAATTTATCCTAAGAGAGAGAAAGGGACATTATAGAGGAATTTGAGAGGAAAATTTCAATTTGAAGCCAGGATTTCAATGTAACACACCAGCTCCATTTGTGCCCTAACACTCCCGATCTCGCTCTCGGTAGCTCCTCTTCTTCTTCTTCTTTTTTCTAGCCATCTTTATTTGCTTCCATTTTCAATCCCACTTTTTTATTTTTTTTTTCTTTTCAATTTGGATGTCAATTTTCGTCTTCTTGATCTCATTGTTGGAATCGAAGGTATAAACGCTATTTAGAGTCCCCTTTGTGTTTAATTTTGGATTCAGTTCAAAATGGGCCATGTTTCAGTGGATTAGATCATTATCACTTGTTAGTGTGCTACAACCGATTCAATCCAAAGGCTCATGTTCTATTGTAGATCTAAGATTTGAACTGAATTCGGGATTTTCTGCCCGAGATTGAATTTGGCGGAGGAATCTGAGTAACAGTTGATGATGGTAACATTGTAAGAAGAGTAGCTTGTTCCTGGTGGGTTGAATATTGGGTAGTTGGCATGGCACTTAGGCCACTGAGCAAGTAAATGCAGTGTGTTTTTTAAATTGGCACGTCTATGTGTAGTTCTTCTTAGATTTATGAGATACTTTTCAACTGGATCAATGACAAAGTTAGATTTATCTGTTCCTATAAATTTGTTGAACACCCTTATCTTTTTTCTATGTACATGTTCCTGTTTGTATGATTGTTGTTTATGTGGTCTTCTCATGTATTATTAACTTTTCATATGCTGTCTTGATGGACTTTTGGGGTTCTTGTAGACTATTTTCATATGTGAACTGTGTTGAAGATAGAATGTGTTACTAGTTTTTCAATTTGGCATGTGGATACCCCAAATCACATTGTGATGGTTGCCTGTTTCATAGACCACTATTGCCTTTTGTATGGCTGTGCTTCATCTTGGCAAGTTCTATTGGTAAATGTCAGGTAGATCTGCTTGACAAAATGGGACATGTAAAGTTGCAAACGCAAACTGGTATCAATGCGATAGAAGAGGCATCTGGACAGTGTGATGCTGAGTATCCTGACAAAACTACTGTGGCATGCATGATCAATGCAGAAATTGGTGCTGTTTTGGCTGTCATGAGAAGAAATGTTAGATGGGGAGTTCATTATATGTCAGATGATGATCAGTTGGAGCATTCCCTTGTTCAGTCTCTGAAGGCATTAAGGAAGCAAATTTTTTCTTGGCAGAATCAGTGGCATGTAATAAACCCTGCCTTGTATCTCCAGCCTTTTCTGGATGTGATTCAATCAGATGAAACCGGTGCACCAATTACTGGTGTCGCTCTATCATCTGTTTACAAGATCTTGACATTGGATGTAATTGATCAAAATACTGTTAATGTTGGGGATGCCATGCACTTGGTAGTTGATGCTGTTACAAGTTGCAGGTTTGAGGTGACTGATCCTGGATCGGAAGAAGTGGTATTGATGAAGATATTACAAGTTCTTCTAGCATGTGTGAAGAGCAAAGCATCTATGATGCTGAGTAACCAACATATTTGCACCATAGTAAATACTTGTTTCCGTATAGTTCATCAAGCAGGAACCAAAAGCGAATTGTTGCAGCGGATAGCACGTTACACAATGCATGAACTTGTTCGGTGTATTTTTTCTCACCTTCAAGATATTGACAACGCAGAACTTGCTTTAAATAATGGCAGCACTGCTTTACAGAAAGAGGTATAGCATTTATGTTACCTTAAACTTACTGGTTGCTATTTCATTTATTTCCTGTGATAATTTTGTCAGTTTCTAGGGGAGGTAAATGGTTGTAAGGAAAAATTGGGACCTTGGGCTAAGAAGTACGATTCAAATTTATGCATGAATTTTTGTTTGGCTATTATTTGTTATTCACCTTTTCTCATTTCACAAAATCTGAAATCATTCAAAATGAATGTGTTAGTTTATTTACCATCTGCTTCTTTACTGTTTATTACCTGTTTCAACTTTGCAATTTCCGTGCATTTACTATTCCCTACAAAATCATGGAATTTTAGGATATATTTGAGAGTGAGGTTTTAGGGGAAATTTTGTCATCATTAATAACTGTTCTTTAATTTGGTAACTTTTTAGGCTTAAATATATTTTGAGTGAGTTTTAGTTTTTGGGCATTGCAATTCATTTTTGGTTTTTACCTGTTAGAAATGTGAAATAATTTATTTTTAGTCTTGATTTCACACGAGCCACGTTACAGGGCAATTTATATGTTGAACGAACTAAGTGATCTTTTAGATGACACTCACTAGTGTTTGTAGTCTCATGTTAGCTTGTCACTTCTAATATTTTTTAGATTCCTGAAACGAATATTATTGATCTTCCTTAAAATGAATATTAAGGGGCAAAAGTAGGGATTTCAGATTTTGGTGGGGTGAAAATTAAATGAAAGTGGTTTTATTTGGACCAAAATAAAAATTAACTCATTTTACAGGAACCAAAAACAATGATTTAAAATTTTAGAGGGATTTCAGTTTTTGGTGGGATGAAAATAAATAAAAGGGTATTGTGGACCAAAATAAAAATTAAATTATTTTACAGGAATCAAAAACAAAGATTTAAAATTTTTAAAGGGATGAAAACTCTTTTTACAGTGACAAACAAAAATTGCTCATTTTGTAGAGATTAAAAAATACTTAAGCCTTTTTTTTAAAAAGAAAAGGATAAATTAACTTATACTTAATGTTTTATATGTTTATGTATTTTTATAAACATATGTGTATCTGTTAAGAAGTTTACCCTTTCTTCTCTTTCCCTCTAAAACCTCACTCGTAGGCATACTCTAATATACCGTATGGTGTTGGTCATCTGATTAAATCTGGCTTTAAAGTCTCTTGTCCAATCGAAATGACTCCAGACCTATCTTCTTGCTTTCCCTTCAAATTTAAGAAGGGGACTAATAATTGATTTATTGAGCTTTCTTATATTTAAAATATTACTATCTAAGAAAAGTGCCCTTCCACATGCTATTTAAAATAAATGTGAATATCCACAAACACGCATATATTTTTGCAAAAGAAAACAAATTAAGGTGGTCAGAGCCTTTTGCACCTATAAGGTAGTGCCACCCCTGCATTTAGTTACCTTAGCTGGACTTTGACTCTCTCAGAGTTACCCTAAAACTACCTAAAATAGTCCAAAATCCCAAAGTATATTCTTTAGGAAAACCACGTGAAAATTATGTGTGTATGGTAGTAACCGACCCCTTGTTGTGCATTATTGTGTTGCACCTCTCAAAAGGGTAAAAGATAAAAAGAAGAAAATGATTGTTAGAGGCTGTTTATGCATTGTTACTAGATAGGGTTAGAGAGATTGTTTTCATGTATCATCATGACAAATATATTTACAGTCAATGCCACAAACTTGTAAGTTTCATTACTGATAGTTTTTTGTCACTTTTTCAACAGATTGTTGGGCTAAATAATGATCATAATTCTCCAAATAGACAATTGGACAATGGGAACTTGACTTCTGCTAGTAATGGTCAACCCTTATCCACAGGCATTGCTCCTAGTACTGTGAGTGATGTGGCAGCCACTGTATTGGATGAAGACACAGCTATTGCAAGCAGTGATCAAGAGGCTGACCTGAATGAATTGCAGCTTATAAATGAACCATATGGGATTCCCTGCATGGTGGAAATATTTCACTTTTTGTGTTCTTTGCTAAACGTTGCTGAACATATGGGAAATAGTCCTCGCTCTAACACTATAGCATTCGATGAAGATGTGCCTCTTTTTGCCTTAACTTTGATTAATTCAGCCATAGAGTTGGGAGGGCCTTCCTTTCACCAACACCCTAGATTGCTAAGCTTAATTCAGGATGAATTATTCCGCAATCTTATGCAATTTGGTTT